AACGAGTAAACCAGACAAAAGGGAAACTGAACAGGCAGGAACTTAAATACAAGGGTAATTAATAGAACACAGCTGAACGAATCATAATTAAACTAAACAAGGACAGGAAAATGATCAAATAAGGAAACACAGAAAGGCACATGAGGAGCAAAACACACACAAAACACTGACCAAAGTCTGACAGAATCACACTGACCTTTAGATCTGGGGAAGAGCCTGAGCTTCTCACAACCTGACATTTGTCTGAAAAGCAGTGGTGGACGAAGTACACAAATCAAGTACTTGAGTAAAAGCACAGATCCGTATAATAAAATATTACTCCAGTAAAAGTAAAAGTACTCAGTTTTCAATTTTACTCGAGTGAAAGTACAAAAGTACTTGATTTTTTATGTACTTAATGGTTAAGTAAAAAGTACTGATAGATTAATATTTATTTTGCAGTTTTATATAGGCTACTTTTATCATTTAATTTTATATTAGCATATATTTTTTTTATAATCCTATTGCTTAAAATACCTGGGATTTTACCAAAATAACCAATAAGGAAATAATGAATATAATAAGGAAAATATCATTATATTTTCATAATTATTGTTTTCTTCTCAAACCTTGTCTGTGGTATAAAACCACCCCTGGCTAATAAAACTACTCCAGTAAAGTACAGATACTTGAAAAATGTACTTAAGTACAGTAACGAAGTAAAACTACTCCGTTACTGTCCACCACTGCTGAAAAGTTATTTCCCTTAATGCACACAGCTGCATCTAGAAATAATCACCTTCATTAATATGTGCTTTGGCGCCACCTTGAAGTCACCCAAGAAAACATCAATGAAATGCATGAATAAAAAAAAATGTTTAAATGTCAATTAAATTATTTTGACACACACACACATACATATGCATATTCACAGAACGTACTCTTAATTAATTTCATCTTCAAAATTATTCAGTATGACAGTGTCATACATTTCAATATCCTCATCATCTGTCAGCTGCTCAGTAATGAAAAGGCCGAGATATTTCACCTTCTCACACTCATTAAGATCATTATCAGACCATTTAATTTAAACATTGATCCTCTTTTGATCTGCAGATCATAACAACACTCTTACTTGCTTTATATATATATAATATCATGCTTTAAGTCCAAACACAGAACACATAGTGAGAGGGTGCTAAAGAGACCAGCACTACAAAGACTAAAAATCACAAGATCATCTGCATACATAACATGATTCACTAAAATATAATCCAAGGCCTTCAAACATTTACACAAATCATCAATATAAAGACAGAACTGGGGTCAAAATCCCTCCTTGTCCAACACCATTGTTAAAGGAACTGAAACATTATTGCCCCATTTTATTTGCATAGGCATACCAATAAACCATACTTCTAATGTAGGTATAACTATATCTACAGGCAAAAGAATTTTACTTACAGTATAAAATTATCTATATAGACAATATATGGTACCAATAGCTGTGAAACACACAGGTCACTAAAGACAAGTCAAACTGAAACTCTGCAGTTTGGATGAATTCTGAGCATGACTCCAAATGCGGTATAAATGTGTTGCAGGCTTGTAGTGGAATAGATGATGCGTGAATGACAACTAACACTCAAGCTCTATTTTTTTAGGTTTGTGGGTTCACAGGATTGGATGTGTGTGCATCTGTGTGTACATCATCTCAGCTGCTGAACTATTTAAGTGCGCAGGAGGAGAGGTCATTTCATCTGCGAGACTTCTGGGGAACTTGCGTTTACATTTTTGTTCTTTAGTTCTGTGAACATGCGGCTGTTTATCACTGTGCTGCTGGCGTTGAGCTGTCCATTCGGCAGGTCTGAAGTTCTACAAACATTCAATAAATGTAGTGAGTTTTTCTCTGAAGGACAGGTTCCGGTGATTCCTGGCATCCTGAATCTGAACTCTGAGCATGCTCGCTACAAAAAAATCTGTCAGAGATATAGTTTCACAAGTGTTGGTTCAGGATATACATTTGCAACTCTCTACGACACAGAAAGCAGGATTCCTGTTTTCTCGGCGTACAAATACACTGCAAGAGGAGATTTCATAAGACCAAAGATTCCATGGATGATCGAGCCGCAGGTGATGATTTTCACAGCTTTTTTTATGATGCCTCATTTGTCTGCTGTTATTGTGCATCAAGTGTTTTAGGAGTCATTCCTCACCTCTTTTCTTTTCCTGTAGAAGTCTTACGTTAAAGTTTTCCATTCAGTGCTGTTTTTGCTTCTAGTCTATCAACTTAGTGTTTTAAAGGAATAGTTCACCCAAAAAAAAAAAAAAACATTATTTATTCAACCTCATATTATTCTAAACCCAAATACACAAAAAAAGAATTATGCAGGTTTTTTATGCAACATTAAATCAGTTAATAAATGCCTGCTTATGATGAATTTGAGTTAATAACTCTGGATGAAACATTGAGAAAACCACTTGAATGGTGAGTTGAGTAAGACTACTGTTAGGAGCTTTAACAGGCTGCTATATGGGAAAAGAATTCTAATTTTGTGTTTTACTTTAAAGCATAACTGCAAACAGGTTTGTAATGACTGCAGGGGGAGTAATAAATGACATAACTTTAATTTCTGAGTCAGGTATTTTAGAAATCTCTTAGTGTTTAATAACTTTCTCTTTCTTGTAAATATACATCTGCAGCCCGATCCTCATGTTGTTGGCATGACTGTTCCATATAGAAATCAGGCCATCCATGAAGACTACTTCGAAAACCGCTATGGAGTGAATCGTGGTCACTTATTTCCCAACTGTCACGCAGCTGATGAATTCACGGCCAAATCTACATTCACACTCACCAACATTGTGCCACAAAATATCAGATTTAATGCCGGCGGTTGGAATCGCATTGAAAACGAGACCAGAGATACCATGAGTACACATTGCTATGACAATAACAATAAAGTTTTAGCTCATGTGCTGACCGGAGCTATACCTGGCAAAAACAAACTAAACAATAGAGTGAACATTCCCTCTTACATGTGGACGGCATTCTGCTGCTATAACAGTAGAGAAAGATTGTGGGTCTCTCAAGCTTACTGGGCCCTAAACAAACAAGAAAAGAACAATGCAGCGATCAGTAAAAAGAGCCTGCAGGAATTACAGCAATTTCTGAGTCAAAACTTGGCGAAAAATGTACAGCTGTTTAAGAACTGTAACTAAAAATGTCTCAGAAAGCATCATATGGGTTAAAAAACACTGAATTATCGTTTCTGATGTTTGATTTGGAGGTCTGTCAAAATGCTTGTTTAGCTTTTCCAGAATCCTAACTCATCGTGGTTTTAATTGCTGTCATTTTTCTCATGCAAGTCATTTTTTTGCATTTTCATTTGAACACAAACAGTACTTTGATAAGCATGTACTGAAGCCCAGATCCTGTTATAAATGGACTGTCTGTACATGTCTGTCTTTTTTCTAATAAAGATTATGCAAATGTTGTCATATCAGAATCATCTCACTGTCTAAATCCAGGGTTCCCAAACATTTCCATTCCTGGACCCACACAAGCATATTCCACCTCAAAACCCACCAAAATAATCTTAAATCTTTCAGAGACAACAGTTTCCATATATATCACACACAGGCTATATACTGTGTATATATATATATATATATATATACACGTGTGTGTGTGTTTTTCAGACTGAGATCAGATGGATGGTCACTCAAGGATGCTTTACTGGGCCTGACAGACAAAACTGGGACAAACACGACCAAAAGGCTGGTTAGAATACATTGCATCGATGTTGCATGAGAAGTCTTAGCATCAGGGAGATATAGAGACTCTGCTGCTGACATTTTCTCAAAAGTGCATGTGACTTATAGTGGGCAAAAACCTCAAAATAAAGCACACATAAAATAAAATAAAACAAAACACTAATACAGTCAATTCACATTAATACAGAGAAACTGTAAACTTAAGTGACCAATATTTTACATATTTTGTATAAAAGAAAGACAGAACAGGAAGAATGCAGCCCTAAAATGGCGCCGCTACACACTTCAGCACGTGCAAGCGCATACAACACAAGTGGGCAAAAACCTCAAAATAAAACAAATAAAATAAAATAAAACACTAATACAGTCAATTCACATTAATACAGAGAAACTGTAAACTTAAGTGACCAATATTTTACATATTTTGTATAAAAGAAAGACAGAACAGGAAGAATGCAGCCCTAAAATGGCGCCGCTACACACTTCAGCACGTGCAAGCGCATACAACACATGTGCTAATAGCTAACATTCAACTATAGCTGATATTATTTTAACACAGATCATGACAAAACCGAACAAAACACATACCTGGGACAAACATGACCAAAAGGCTAGTTAGAATACATTGCATCGATTTTGCATGAGAAGTCTTAGCTAAATTAAATAAACAGAGGTTCGGAGTTCACAAGCAGGCCAAAAAACTCTTAATTTTATCATCACAAATAACTGACAGACAAAATAAGTAAACTTGTGTGTAGTTTCAAGTTTAAACTTGGGTTTGAAAACAATTCAAACTTAGTTTTTAAGACGGAGCAATCATTTATGCGACTTACCAGCAGGGAGATTATAGAGACTCTGCTGCTGATGACGTAGCTCCGCCCCACAACATCATGTGCGCAATGAGTGATGCAACAGCCAATGGGAGTTTTCCCAATTTATGCATGAATTTAAGATGACGTAGCTCCGCCCCGCAACATCATGTGCGCAATGAGTGATGCAACAGCCAATGGCGAGTATTCCCATTTTATGCATGAATTTAACCAATTATTTTAACTCCGTTACATACACCCCCCTTAAATTCTGCTAAATTGGGCTAGAACCAGCATATGTAACAAACAGAACATAGAGTAAAGATTTCAGAAACAAAGAAAAAAACAGATGTGAGTACAAGAGTTTTACATTACAGTATGTCAGAAAGTCAATCTCTTCCCAGGAAGTGTGTAAGAATGGAATGGTACCAGGTTCCACACTTAACACAGACTATAGGAGGTGCAGCCTACACACTCCTAGTAGTAAGACATGCATCTCTGCTCTTTGAACTTCTCTTCACACAACAAACACACAACAAACTCCTCAGACTTCAAGGGAAAAAAACTCACTTCACAGTTAAACTCTTAACACCACAACTGGCTTTTAGATATAAATCATCATTCAGACTCAAGTGCACTAAACAAAAATGTTCCTTATCAAATCAACAAAATTTGATCCCTGAAAAATGACATGTGCAACATTGTTTGAATCACTTCCCACAACTTTTTGTTGATCAATTTCACAAATAAGTCTGTTAGGGGGTCTGACTGATCTCCCTAACCGTGTGGTTATGTGGCTTGTGCGTGTGCTTGTGGGCTGTTCGCAGATGACAGGGACAGGTCTGTTATCAGGTTCTTGCACACAACTGGATGACTCATTTGGCTCAGTAACGGTTAAACTCTCTGTACTCTTAACAGGTTCAGGAACATGCTCGGGTTCTGGACTGTTTTGAACATTGTCAGAACACTCTGAAGCAGTCATCTCATCAGGGATGTCCAAAGCTCCATCACAATTGGTATCCTGCATTTCATTCCTTACATGTGTTCCATCCATTTGCAGTAACCGTTCTGATGTCTTTGAAACAGGATCAGTATCGTCCATCAGAGCAGAATCAAGAGCACTGCCACGGGTAGCACATGTGGAATTTGATCGAACAGATTCCTCTTCATCATCATCCCAGGATAAGAAATTCACTGGAAGCAACAGATTTCTGTGCACTACTTTTTCTCTGCCAGTCTGAGCATCCTTAATCCTGTACACATTAATCTCTGGTCTCACTGATTGTACTTCATACAGAACAGAGTCCCACTTGTCTGCAACTTTCTTCATGCCTTTCACTCCACGATTAGCCAGCAGAACTCTATCTCCCACTGCTAAGGGTGTACCTCTGACCTTTCGATTGTAAAGAATGGCATGATGGTTTTGTTCTTTGAGACTGTGTTTCCGGGCAATTTCAGCAGCTGTGCTCAAGTCTCTTCTCAATGTGGTGACAAACTCATGATGGCTGACCACTCTATCATCACAAAGGACATGCTGAAACATGATGTTGATCGGCAGCCTCGGGATATGCCCAAACATAAGATAAAAAGGCGCAAACCCGGTCGTTTCATGCACAGTACAACTGTAACTGAAGGTTAAAGTCTGTAGAAGCTGTGGCCCCTTCGCCTTGGATTTGACTGGGAGAGCTCTTATCATATTCCCCAGAGTTCTATTGAAACGTTCTGCTAAACCATTACCCATAGGGTGGTATGGTGTGGTGTGCGATTTTTGAATACCAGCCATCTCAAGCAAGTTTCTAATGATTTTGCTTTCAAAATTCGCACCCTGGTCCGAATGTATTCTCTTTGGAAATCCATAAATGCAAAAGAAATCATTCCAAAGGCGACGGGCAACTTGTTTTGCAGACTGGTTGTGACAGGGGAAGGCGTGTGACATTTTAGAGAAATGATCTGTCACTACTAAGACATCGACGACCTTCCCTGAAGTTTGTTCAGCACTCCAAAAGTCAATACAGACGAGCTCCATGGGCTCAGAGGTCCGAAAGCGCTCAAGGGGCGCGCGAGCATCTGGCTCTGGAGTTTTCCCGACAACACATCTCTGGCAGTTCTTCACATACAGCTTAATGTCTTTACTCATCCCCGGCCAAAAGAATCTTTCAGCTGCAAGGGAGAGTTCTTGAACTCCCCTGGTGTCCGGCGGCATCATGAACACTGCGGAGAACATCGTGCTTCAGGGAATCAGGTACAACGTATTGAAGAAGCTTCCTATTCATCAGCCGATCCCTCTTTACTCTGTACAGCACATGATTACGGATCTTAAGCTTTTTCCAGTGCTTCAAAAGGTATGTCACAGATCTAGGTTCCTTTGCGCTCTCACTCTTTGAAGGACGTTTACGTCTCAGAACATAGTTGATGACCCTTCTGAGTACGTTGTCCTGCTCTTGGAGACTGGAGAGTCTGGAAAACGGGATTGCTACAGACGGGTCTTCAGAAGGAAGCTGGAGTGATGTTGGACTGGCTACGGGCAAAAGACTAACCTCATCACCGGAGTGAGCACTCAACGCAGCAGAAACTTCAGCAGCGTCAAATGATCCAGGACATGAGTCGTTCACATCATCCTGTGGCTCATTTTCAGTTTCACCATTGCTGGTAGCCTGCAAATTCTGACAGTGGTTAGAGACACGAAAGGCATCTTGGACGGTACCGGTAACAACACCATTGACCTCATCCAGAAGAGAAACATATGGTTCTTTCAACAGACGATGGCTGACACAAGACTTAACAAAGGGCTCTCTGCTTAAGGCGTCTGCAACAACGTTCTTCGTACCTGGCACGTACTTAAGATCAAAGTCATATGCAGCGAGCTTCGCCACCCATCGCTGTTCACATGCATCTAATCTGGGTTTGGTTAGAATATAGGTCAAGGGATTATTATCAGACCATGCTGTGAAATGTCTCCCTTTTAGCCAATGGCTAAACTTGTCACAAATGGCCCACTTTAAAGCCAGAAATTCGAGTCTGTGTGCTGGGTAGTTCATCTGGGACTTAGAGAGTGTTTTGCTTGCAAAAGCAACTGGACGTGCAATTTTCTCACCAGAAGGTACTTGAGATAACACGGCTCCTATGCCATCAAACGAAGCATCAACAGAGAGAATAAAGGAATGACTGAAATCAGGGTGAGTGAGAGTCACACTGTGCAGTAGGTCTTGTTTTAAAGTTTCGAAAGTGGTTTGGCATTCACTAGTACAATCCTCAGGTGAAAGCTTGACGACACTGAGTGGCTTTTTCATACGACCACACTTCCTGTGAGCTTTATTCTGTGACCGATCTGATAGGAGACTGAACAGAGGTTTTGCCTTAGCAGAACAGTCCTGAATGAAATGCTGATAATATAAAATCATACCCAGGAAAGATCTGATCTTCTTTTGAGAAGGGGTTATACCATCATCTTCCATGAGATCAACAGTCTGGATATCACTGATCACCTTAACTTTTTCTGGGTCAGTCTGAACACCATTCTCAGTGACAACATGTCCCAAGAACTTAACAGATCTTCTAAGGAACTTGCACTTTTTTGGTGCTAGCTTTAAGTTGTGCTTAGACAGGCGTGAGAAAACCAGTTCTAATCGGTCAAGA